TATTTTTAGTAGAGACGGGGTTTCACCATGTTGACCAGGATGGTCTCGATCTCTTGACCTCGTGGTCCACCCGCCTCGGCCTCCCAAAGTGCTGGGATTACAGGCGTGAGCCACCGCGCCCGGCCATCAACCTCCATTTTTAATATTAAAATATTAAGCTGCTACAAATATTGATGCATGAGTATATGGACATTTAGCTGAGAGCATTTTTAAGCAGAAGTTTTCAAAGTGTGGCCATGTTTTTTACTGATTATAGGGAAGAACTACAAAAGAAAAGACCCAAGATTTGATGCTTTGGGAAATGCTCAGCCCATCTTAATTGAAAAAAAAAAAATTGAAATTAAGAGATTCGTTGTCAGGAAAGAATGTTTTAGAGAGATAGCCAGGAATGCTTGCTATTATCAAGATCAAAACATACATAAGAACATTGTCACACAAAAAGCTATTTGAAAAGATTAAATGCAGCTTGCAGATCTCAGTATGAGCAGAGAGCTTGTAAGAAGTTTAAACTATCAGTCATATCAACAAAAGCCTAAAATAGATAGGGGATTCCCTAGGGAAAATAATCTGTGTAAACCTCTTTTCTGATGGTGTGAATTTCGGTGACATACAGGAGACTCAGGAAGTTCTTGAAAATTTCACACCAGTGAGAATGCTCACCTTGGGTCTAAAGGAACCTTGTCAATATGAAGTTAACGGGTGTAATATTCTATACGTGGGACTGGCTGAGGAAACAGGTGCAAGCCCTTGCTGTCTTTTATGAGAAAGGAAGGATGACTCAGAGCAGAGGAGAATCCAGTGGGCAGAGCCCTGAACCATCTGATATCCCATGTCTTGACTCCCAGTGACATTTGCCAAACTAGATTTCAAGATTTCTTGGGACTGGCGATCCCATTGTTTTGTTTTCCCACTTCCATTTCCTCCTGCTTTGAAGCAATGCATATGTATATATAACTGTTATCCTGGGTCTTTCCTACCCTTTTGTTTGGGAGCAGATAACTAGTTTTCTAGTTTTATGGCTCTAAATGAGACAGGAATAGCACTGGGTGGTCACAGGAGGATTGAAAATCTCAAACACAAAGGGTGGGTGTGGTGGCTGACGCCTGTAATCCAAGCACTTTGGAGGCCAAAGCGGGCGGATCACCTGAGGTCAGGAGTTCAAGACCAGCCTGACCAACATGGTGAAACCCTGTCTTTATAAATAAATAAATAAATAAATAAATAAATAAATAAATAAAATCTCAAACACCACCCTGGTTTTGGTGTGGGTGAAAAAAAGTAAAAAAAGAAAAACCCAAACAACAGCTAAAACAGAAACTAGGTGAAGAAAACACAGGATAAGAGAAAACCAAAAATAAAAGGGAAAACAGCTAGAAACCCAGTCAGGGTGATGTGTCCATGACTCTTCAAGGCAAACCCAAATAAGGGAAGGGGGTAGTATTGGGGGTCCTTGAAATCCACTCCCTTTTCAGAATACTGAATGGTTATCCCTTGATTAAAGGAACATCCGTGCAATTAGAAACCTAAACTCCATTGTGCATGACTCACTATCAGGGGCCTGCCCTCATTTCTGTGTGTGTACTTCTGCTTTGCAATAAAAGCTGCTTGCCTTTGCTTCATTCTGACTCATCACTGAATTCTTTCAATGTTGTTAAAAACCTGGATCTCACTGACAATGTCCAGAGACCCTCCTGAACCCCCCAGCAACACAGAGAGGAATCGTGCCCCAAGATGGATTATACCCAGAGCCTCATCAATATTGGACTTAGACAATTTAGATGAGAATGGGGACTTTTGAGCTAATTAGGTTTTGATATTTGGATTTTGGGCTGATAGTATAATGGGATGAGACCTTTTGGGAACCTGAGATGGGATGAATATATTTTACATTCAGAACAGATGTGAATTTCGAGAGTCCAGAGGGAAAACTTGTAGGAAGAATAATGCTTCTGAAAGATGTCTATGCCCTAATCCCTACCTGTAGGTATGTTACCTTACACAGCCAATGGGACTTTGCAGATGTGATTAGTGTTGCAAGACACTTCAGATGGGCGTAATCTAATCACAGGGTCCAACCTTTCCCACCTGCAAGGAGAAAGATGCAAGGACAAAGGAGTCAGAGAGATGGAACGGGGAAATACGGGCTATCCAGGACTGGAGAGGGGCCCCTAGGAGCTAAGGGGAGCACACATCTCACATCAAGGAAACAGACCTCAGGCGTACAACCACATGGAACTTAATTCTGTCAACAAGCCAAATGAGAGGAATCTGATGCCATAGAGCCCCCTGAAAGTAACAACTTGCCAGCATTGGGAATAGCTGGGGCCATGGGGACTTTGTAGGTATAAAGGCCCTGGGGCTGGCCAGGCCTGGCTGCCTCTGCGGGGTTGGGTACCAAGGAGGTGGGCACCTAGTTGGTGAGTCTGAAGACAGCTCTGGAGCTATCAGCCCACCTCTATGGGCTTTCTGGCCTCCAGGCCCCAGGTCCTGTTGCCCTGACCCCTGTGGCGCCAAGCAGCCCAGCTTCTGGGATATCCATGGGAGTAGCTGGCATCTGCTGAGTGTTCCCTCTGCACCTGATGGGTTTTCAGGAGCTTCATCCAATTCCCAGGCTGCCACGGCGCCTCACCCAGCCTCCAGCCCCAACCTATGCATTTGTGGGCATAGCCGCCACGGCAGAGTCCCAGGGCTCCTCCGCCCTTCATGCCTCCGCGCACTCCAGCCTGCACCGCACCTCTGGCTCAATATGGTTTTGATTTGCATTTCTCTAATGACCAGTGATGATGAGCATTTTTTCATA